TATATATATAAAGAATCTATAAAAATTCTTGGAGGGGAGATCACTGGATCGAAGTGGGTGAATTAAACTGCTTTCCAACTCCTTTAAGCTTCTGAATTCTCAGTACAATTTTGAATGAGGAAAAAATAATTTTCCTGCTCTTTACATGCAAGTCACAGTTTTCTTATGTGTTCCAAAGTACCCATGGCCTCAAAGCACTACTGCACAGCTGCTGCTACATATGTTGCTGCTGAAAGCTAAAACTTGCTGAAATAATCATTCCCAATGTTTGAAGAGAACATGTTTTAGGCACCGCTTGATGCATCTTGTTTCTTCAGGGAGCCTGAAGTCAGAGCACAAAACAGCAGTGACATCAAAAATTCAGGGTTGATGTGGGCTTTTGTTGTCCCCCCTCTCATCCCCACTCTGGTCTCCGGCAATGTGAAGGACTACAAAAAACTGCTTGCATCATAAATCTTTATTTCAGAGTAAGTGATAGGATTTATGCTTGTACATAATCGTCCATGTTGGATATAAGAGCTGTAAATTTTTATTTTGTACATGGAAGAAGGACAATACAGGGAACACAGTGTAAAATTTTAAAAGAGAAAACAAAGGAAAAGGCAGTTTTACACTATTCCACTGTCATCGGATGAAAGATGCATTAAACATAAGCTCACAGGATCAATCATACATACAGGTAAGATCAAACAAACCATATGGTAACCCTGAGAGACAGATGTCCTTCCCAATTCTTTCACTCCATCAAGATAAATAGCTATAGTTTGGTTACTTGACTGATGCAAATCAATAAAACTCTATTGAAATCTGCAGCAGTGCTGGGACATTTTTTCTCCATGAATCTGTTTCTCAAGTTTGGCCCACTATACAGTATTCAATGAAAGAGTAGTTCAATATGTTTTAAATTTGTTTTTATGCTCTTTTTTCTCCCTTGTACTTCAATACTGGCAGCTATGACAGACAGTGAGAAATGTTCAGAGAAAGAAATGGAACATGGAAAATATTGCTTTTTCAAACAGGGGGGAAAAGGCAAAAGAAACTTTAAAAAGTTGGAGGAGATGGGGTGAAAATTTTGGTTCTAATGCACCTGAATTCTTAATTTGTCACAAAGCTAGGAGTGATACAAAAATGTTGGTCATGCTTATGGACCTCACCAGAAGTGGGAAATGCCTGGCTGTTTTTGCAAATTAAACCCTTCAGATTTTATGGCTGACCATGGCATTCAGAAATTAACTTTAGTCAGGGAGGTTGGAAAATTCCCAGCAGTGCATGGTGTATCTATCCGTCTGTGATATTTTTACTGCCACTTGTCTTTGGAATTAAAGCTGGAAGGTGCTACCCACACTTGTGCAAAGCTTGTGAAAGAACTTTGCAGCACACAAGGGCTGAAAGTGTGAGGTTTGTGTGGTGCTGAGGCTGCATGATGCTCCAGTGCACAGAGCTGGATTTAATCCAAGGAGAAAAGGGCTATACACTGTATTGCCAGTCTAGTCACAACATGCTATTGAGGAGGACAATAATAAGGACACAGCATCTGGTGGAAGGAGGGACACAATTACTTGTCTTTTTTTCTCTTTCAAAACAGTGGCTTTAGTTGTCTTCTGACACCATTTTTAATTTCTGATGCTTCAATTTTAAATTTTCTGTGAGGCAAACCCAAGATGTGGCAATATAAATGGAGCCAGTTGTAATTTAGCTCAGTGTGAACTCTTGATTGTTTTTGAATATGCAATTGCAGCCACAGGGATGGTGAAATCAAATTGGAGTAGAAAGCCACCATCCAAAGACAGTACCTCTTTACATCAAGAGAATCTGTATGGCAGAAAGGCTTTTCCGTACAGGCTGATGCAGGGCACAGAAACCCTGCTCTGCACATTTGAACCAGAGCTGGGAAAATGAGCTAACAAATGTTGCTCATGAATATTCATAAACATCTTCAAAGGAAGGAATTTATCCATGTTGACATCTCATTTATGTCTGCATTCTGCCAAAGTGTAATCATGAACAATCCAGTAGGCACACAATTTAAACTACATTTTAAATTAAAACAATGGCATCTATTAAAAACTCAATTTTTTTTCATTGAAACTATGTTCATATCACCCTTCCTAACATATTTAAAAATGAAGAGCACAAAATGAAGATTTTGTGCGGGGCATCTTACTGGGAGTTCTCACACCTGTAAAATGACTTCATGAGAACAGCGATTCCCCAAATACTCACTTGGAAAGGGCAAGGATTTTGGCTTATTTGGGGACATATTTCCACATTTGTCTATAACTGTACTATACAGAAAAATATCAGAGAGTTTAGTTCCCAAAATCTCAGAAATAGTCCAGTTAAATTCCAGGTTATAGATCAGCATAAATTGTTTTATTTTATGTGGATTAATAAGCGTTTCTCTGCTGAAGGCTTTGAATTTGCTGGTTTTTTGTGCAGTTGGCTTGTTCTTCTTCATACAAACTGCATCTGAAGATTTCCAGAATCTGGAAGAACCTTAGCCTGTGCAAGTAACTCACATTTGACATTGTGCCTAAATGCAGTGGAACCATCATTGTGTCCTTTCCTCCCCAAAAACTCCCAGAGTTCTGAGAATTTTTACTAAAGTCACAAACGTGGCTTTGTTCAGGAGTGTGAAATCATCCCATGCCTGTCAGCAGCACACTGACAAGGACTAATGTTGTTATTGTGCTATCTACAGGTTGAACATAATCTCTGCAAAGATTCATTTGCCAGAACCTTTCCTTTAAATCCATACTCTCAGGACTATATAATGTGCCTACTCTTTAAAGACACCTCCCTTCTGTAGCCTGCAGCTGGAGGTTCATGTACTGCAGGTTCATGCTTGCTGTCAGTCAAATAAATGCTTTCAATTTTTCATAACAAGCAGTGTCTTCAAGTTTAAAAGAAAATAATAATAATAATAAAAGAGACTGAGAGAGAAGTTATCTCAAGAAGCAAACTCCAATATATTCCAAGGTTAGTGCTGTATAATTAATGGCATTACCAAATGAAGCTGAAAGTGTAGAGTCTGCAAAAGGCTAATAACAAGGATTGGACATGCACTTTCTTTTTCATTCATGTTCTTACAGTTTCTTGTGAGCCTAATTGAAGTCAGGAGGGCTTTTACAGATGACATTTTCAAATGTGGCTCTGATCAATGGCAAACAGTGCATGTGCCCTATGGAAAAACCTCTTGCCATGTATTGCTAAGGAAAAAAAAAAAAAGAAAGAAGTCTTGCTCTACTCATTTTTGATTAAAGTTGCAGCCGGATATGTTACATTAGAAAACTGGGAGAAGAGAAGTATTTTCAGCTGGCACAATGGCCATATGCATTTTTTCTCTCTAGGATTACATTCAGTAAGGTTTTTTTAATGGAAACAGACACATGTTGCCAAAAAACTGTTAAAGATATCAAGTTTGCTTCAAAGTCTGTAAAACAATGGAATGTAGACAAATGCTGGAAAACACTTCTAAATTAATCCTTCTGGCATTAGATTATTCTGTGATAAAAATTCACTTTAACAAGTAGGTCAGAGTACAGCTGCTAAAAGTAAGCAACCTGATGCAATGGAGGCTATGGTTTTAAGCACTATCAAAATGATCTTGGATTAATTGCTTTCCCGCTGGCAGTAA